TGGACAGGAAGGCGGAGTCCAGGAGTGGGTCTGTCCAGGCCTGGGATGCATTTGTGGCTCCGGAGCCCCTGGCAGTTTCCTGTGTGGTCTCATCTCTCTGTGCAGGGAGTGGGGTGGGAGTGTGTGTGTGCTTTTTAGACATCCTAGTGTAGGGGCTGGGGCCCACCCTGGGCGAGGCTGCTGTTTGGAGTCCAGTACCTCCTCTGCGCTCCCTGGTGGGGCCTCTTGAAGAGGAAAACAAAGCCCCGTGTGGGTGGAGAGTCTCTGCTGGCCCCGCCCACACCTCCTCACTCATAACAGCCTGAGGCAAGGCCAGCTCCTGGCCCCACGGTGGAGTGGGGCCAGTCATCGGGCACCTGTACCCACTCTGGGAGGATCAGAAAGGACATCTTCCTGGTAACTAGGCAATCACGAGGACTATTACCACATTTTTTCTTGTATTTTTTTCCTAGGAAATTTACCAAGTTTTGGCCCAGGGGTTGACATCTGCCGTCCCCTAGCAAAAGCTCTCCCTGTTCAGGCCCCAAATGGAAGCCGCCAAGGCTATAATTACACCGGCATTAGCTCAGAAACACGCTGAGAGGAGCAGGACAGAGCACCTGGGGAACCTAAAAGTGGCCGCAGGCCAAAATGAGCTGCCGTTCCATTCTCGGTCGCCGCCCAGCCCCTCTCTGGCGCCTGTTTCGTCCTTGCTCTCCTCTGCCTCGACCGAGGCTGCTGTGCCCTTCCCTTCGGCCAGCGACCTGACAGGTGCACTGACCATGAAAGAACCACCTGGCTGGTCACAGGGAGCCCCCCTGGAGGCCGTGCTTCCAGAATGGCACTTGTGTAGACAGCATCCTCCGATTCTTGCCTGGCCGAGGGCAGAGTGCTGTGGTAGCAGCTCAGGAAGCTGCTGGGGGGGAGGCGCGGGCTGGCCGTGTCTGGCAGGTGTCTGTATCCAGCGAGCTGTCATTCAGCCTGCAGAGTCACCTCTGCAGGGCCCTCTTCCGGTCTCTGTCTCCAGGCGCAGGGCTGCTGTCGACCCCTGCCCTGCTGTCGGTTCCATCTGCCTGGGACTCTTCTGCTGCTTGCCCTCCCCAACCTCTCTGACGCTGTCGGGGCAGGCTGTGCTTGTCCCTGCTCCCCCAGCACCCCGACTTCCCTGTGCACACACTGTTTCTTTGTCCCCAGCTGTGTCTCTGTGGACATGTCTGCACAGAGTAAGCCTCAGTGAAAATGTGCTGATCAAATGCGTAGGAAAACAAACCTCGATTTCCTTTCTGCCTTAATTCTCCTTTTGTTTTTACAAGAAGGGAGGGAGTTTGCCCTTTCTGCCTTTGTAGGGCTGTTGTCGGTGAGGCAGGGTGTTGGGGTGACAGCTCGGTCTCCATCGATTGGCCCCCAACTTTCACTTCTGAGCATCCTGGGCTGGGCTCCACATTGATACTTGGTCAGACATGGTCTTGTGTGGACCACTGGCACCGGCCCCCTGTCAGCCTGGCTTCCTTCGTGACGTTAACCAACGCTTCTTGGGCATTTATTATGAACTAGATACTGTTCTAAGTAGATTTATTCTTTTATTCATCAAACACTTATTCAGCATGCAGTGTGCATCCGGCCCTGGGAAGTATGGATGCAGCATAGTGAATGCAACCAGCAAAGCCCCTGCCTTCCCCGGGCTTATATTTTGACACACACAGACAGATGAGTCAGTAAGTGTGTGCTGTGGCAGATGGCGATACGTGCCATGGGAAATACAGAGCAGAGTAGGGGTCCTGACATGTTACTATGATTAGGGTGGTCGGGAAGGACTCCCAGATAAAGTAACATTTGAGCACAGACCTTAAAGAAGTGAGGAATGGAGAGATGTGGGTGTGGGGGTGGGGGAGAGCTTCCAGGCAGAGAAGCAGCAGGCGCAAAGGCCTTGTGGTCAGGGCACGTTCCGGGAGGACCAAGGGGACCGGCGTGTCTGGAATGGAGTGAGTGTGCAGGGTAGGAGAAGAGGTCTCGCAGAGCGCTGCCGGCTAACAGAAATATGGGGGCGGGGGCAGAGTAGGTCACAGTTTATTCCTGTGTCATCCTTTACTAATTACTGTATCACTTTCCATATGAACGGCTGTCAACCTGCTTTTGCCCCACTCTGAATAATATGTCACACATGTAATTCTAAATTTTCTAGTAGTCATATTAAAAAAGTAAAAAGAAACAAATGAAGTTAATTTTTTAAATCCTTACCTGAGAATATGTTTATTGATTTTAGAGAGAGAGGAAGGGGGAGACAGAGGGGAAGAGAAACATCGATGTGAGAGAGAGACATCGGTCGTCTGCCTCCCATGTGCCCCGTGACTGGGGATTGAACCCGCAGCCGTTGGGTGCACAGGAGGGCGCTCCACCTGGGCTGAGCCTCCCAGCCAGGCCACAAGTGAAATTAACTGTAATAATACATTTGTTTAACATGGTATCTCCAAAATACCACTTCCACATGTCATCAAAGTAAAATATTATTATTGAAATGCTTTTCTTGTTAAGTAAAGGAAAAATCAGGTGTCTATTTTCATAATCTGGTATGGAGACTGCGTTTCAAGCCGGCTGCAGTTCGAGCTCAGGGGCACGTGATGACGGGTATTGGGCAGCACAGGCATGGAGGCATGGGCCTCGCAACGAGATGGGAGGCCTCTGGAGGCTGCTGGGCCCAGGATCCTCACCCCTTGGCCTTAGGTTCTGGAAGGTTCGTGTCACCTGTGGTGAGAGAGTTGGTCCGAGGCGAAGGGCAGGTTCAGGGCAGAGCAGCTAGCCCCGGCTGGGGGGCCCTGCCAGCATGCAGTGGCAGGCTGGGACCGAGATGGTAGCGGTGGCTGCACTGGGGATGTGTTTAGAAGGCAGAACTGCCAGGGTTTTCTGACATGGTGTGTAACTGAGAGAGGGGTCCAGGAAGCACCTACGTTTTCGGCCTGAGCTTTGGAGGGGTGCACCTATTTTCAAAGGGGCGAGGGAGACCGGGAGTGGAAGCAGCCTTGGGGGGACATGTGAGGGTTGGTTTGGGGCATGTTGGGTTTGGGATGTGAGGTCAGCCTTGGAGGCGGGGCTAGCAAGCAGGCGGGTGGACTTACGGATCTGTGTTCAGTGGGGAGGGCTGGTTGGAGATGTAAATTTGGGAGTCACTGCTGGCAGTTAAGGCCAAGAGGTGACCTGAGGGCTCTGGGGAGTGGGTGCATGTAGGGAAGGGGGCTCAGCCCTGGCACAGCAGCCGAGGAGGGGCACACAGGGAAGCAGCAAGAGGATCGGCAGCCCCGAGGAGAGGAGTAGAGCGAGCGACCGGCTGTGTCTCACGTGCCACTGGGTTCCTGGCCACTGACAGGGGCGGGGGGCAAACACCAGGCTGCAGTGGGTGATGTCCTCGCTTACAGGGACGTCCTGGCAGACAAGGAGAGAGAAAATGAGAGATCTTCATGCTCACAGAACGCTGTGAGGCAGGGACTCTTGAACACAGAGAAACTGAGGCAAAGGCAGGTTCACTTGCCCGAGGCCTCACAGCAGATAAGGAGCAGGGCCAGAAGGGGACAGGTGGCTCAGTGCTGGAGCTCTTTGTCTGCACCATTCTGCTGTTCTGCCTCCTGGTGTCCTGGCTGGATTTGTGAGCTCTCGGGAATGAGAGCCCCTCTTACGCTTCTGCACCTTACGTGGCATGGGGCAGGGAGAGGGCCATGCCAAGGTGGGATGTGGCAGACCTTTCGTGACCAGAGATCAGAAAACCAGGACCTGTGCTGGCAGGTCTCAGGCTCCGGGCTGGCCATGGGAGGGAGCGCGGTGTCGGGGTGCCTCAGCCAGGTCCTTCCCACCACCCTGCAGGGCCCCGAATGGAGGGGGTGGTACTTGGTCAGCCGTGAAAAGCACTTGCTGGTGGATGGAGAATGAATGAACCTACGGCCCATCCTGAAGCCTAAGCCAGAGGCTTGCTTGGGCACAGCGTGGCGCTGGTGGGGCACGGGCTCCTCCTCTGCTTTGCCACCAGCGTGCTGGGTGACCTCGGGCAAGCTCTCCGTGCACTCAGCGCCATGGTGTCCTTGCCCATGGGTGAGGTGGTCGCCCATCCACTCATACTGCCATGTTGTGAGGGGGCACATGCAGATGGGGCTCCTGCCTCCCTCCTCCATCTGTCAGCAGGTGGATGGGAGGTGCCTTGGGGTGGGAGCTGGCCGGCAGTGGGGGCCTGGGTGGTCTCTGTGCTGGGTGTTCCCCTCGTGGGACCTTGACAATCCCTGGGAACTCTGCTTTGCGCCCACAGCAGTGGCGTGAAACCTGCAGCTGTGGTACTAGCTGCGGCACGCCTGTGCTGTGGCTGGCGATGTGCTCGCCCCACAGAGCCCAGGGCTCGCCTTCAGCCTGCCCCTCTCAGGGCCAAGCTCCCCTCCCAGAGCTTTCTGTTAGTGGCAGTGGCATCCCCGCCCTGCCCCCCGTGCCCGTGCGTGGGGCCGCTTTGAGCTGTGTGCCAGCATTTCCGGGGGCCTGGTGGTGGTGGGCGAGGGGAGTGGCGGTGGTGCTGCTGTGGCTCCTGCAGGGGAACTGTTCCTCCCTAACTGCCAGCAGTGTCCCTGCCGGAAGCTCACGCGTGCTGCGCTGGTGCCCAGGCCTGGCCCCGTCTGGGCTTAGCTGCCCCCAGCTGTGTGGCCGTGAGCCAGCCGCTCTGTTTCCACGTTTCCCACGTGTGCGAGCAGAGCCATGAACCCTGGTTGCTTGCCTTTTCTGCTTGCGATAAGTCTTAATAAGGCTCTGGAAGGACAGCTGTCATGGCAGCCGCCCACTGGACGTGTGCACTCCCTGACCCGTCATGGGCCTGGACATCCACTCACTCAACCCTCGCCGCCACCTGAGGAGGGAGGGCCTGTTAAATGACCCCATTTCACAGACAGGAAGCTGAGGCAGAGCAGAGGGAATGCTGGGAGGTGTCCCAGCGAGTAGGCGGCGTGTCGTCCCCCTGCCTGTGCAGGCCTCTGACCTCTCTTGCCCTCTCCGTCCAGGGACCGGGGCGGACCCGGCGGTCAGCGCCAGGAGCAACCACTGCCTAGATGCTGCCAAGGCCTGCAACCTGAACGAAAACTGCAAGAAGCTGCGCTCCTCGTACATCTCCATCTGCAACCGTGAGATCTCGTCCGCCGAGCGCTGCAACCGCCGCAAGTGCCACAAGGCCCTGCGCCAGTTCTTTGACCGGGTGCCCAGCGAGTACACCTACCGCATGCTCTTCTGCTCCTGCCAGGACCAGGCGTGTGCCGAGCGCCGCCGGCAGACCATCCTGCCCAGCTGCTCCTACGAGGACAAGGAGAAGCTGAACTGCCTGGACCTGCGCGGCCTGTGCCGGACCGACCACCTGTGCCGGTAAGAGTGTCGGCCACCAGGCACCGCAGGGTGCCTCTCTCCGTGGCATCCCCGGGGCTGCTGGGGGACGATCCTGGGCCCAGCGAAGAGGATGACTTGGATGTGTGCAGAGAGAGCCGCCCGGCCTCCTTCCCGCCCTCCCGTCCTTCCTGCAGCACAGGCTAATTGTTTGCCTGCCCTGTGCCCAGCCTCATGCTGAGCACCATGGGGAAACCAAGACAAAAACCTAAGGAATTATTTACTTAAATTTACTCAATTTTAATCTTTACCTGAGAATATGTTTATTGATTTTAGAGAAAGAGAAAGGAAGGTGGAGAGAGAGAAAGAGAGAGAGAGATTGAGTGAGAGAGAAACATTAATTGGTTGCCTCCTGTACACACCTAGACCAGGAGTCAAACCCACAACCTAGGTATGTGCCCTGACCGGGAATTGAACCTGCAACTTGCTACATGAGATGGCACTCCAACCAACTGGGCCACTTGTCCAGGGCAGGAGCTTATAATTTAAATCATGGACTGCTAGAGCAAGGAAAAGGAAGTGGCCTTCAGTGAATTTAGCTCCATCTCCAAAGGATATCCCCCCACCCCAATATCCCCAGGAGGTTCTGGCTCTCATAAGGCACAGAGGCAGGCCCTTCTGCATTAAGAGCTGAGCCCCTACCGGGTGCTGGGCTGGAACACGGGTCTGCAGTCGGACCCGTGCTATGGGAGTCGGCCAAGCTATGGGCTTGATATCCAGACTTTTCCACTACTATCTGTGCCACTTGGAGCAAGGTTTATAAATGTCCCAAATCTTCGTGAAACAAGAGTGAAAACATCCATGTCTCAGGGTCACTGTGACGACACAGTGCATGCCCAAATCTCAGCACAGGGCCTGGTGAGTAGCATGGATTTTAAAAGTGCAGCCTAATTATTAGGAGGGTTTTATTTTGTTTGTTTGTTTTTATGGTGAGTTGAAATTTGCCTCTTTGTAGTTGTCTTGCTTTTCCTGTTTGTTGCAAAACATTTATGGAGCCCCTCTCACATCCAGGGCGGGGTCCGAGGCCCGGGAGTGCAGAGGTGAACACGATGCTCTCGGAGGAGCATATGGTCCAGGAAGGAAGCCATGAGAGCCTTGATCCCAGTGCAGTGGGACAGGGGCCGAGGGTGCCCTGAGGAAAGAGCACAGGGGAGGGGCATGCGTCTTAGCCTGGGGCTCCAGAGGATGGGTCTTGAGCTGAATCTCTGAAAATGAGAGGGAGAAAGGCAGGGAGTAAGTCAGCTGGAGAGCATATGCAAAGGCTGGTGGGTAGGTGAGAACCTGGACAGGTGGTGGGCACGTATGGAGTGTGGGCCATGAGGCAGGGGGCCAGGCAGGGCTGCTTGGAAACAGGGCTCATGGAGATGCAGAAAGAGCGCTTACTGCACAGCAGACACCGGTCTGTCATGTGGTTTACCTCCTTCGGTCCTTGCAGTGAGACTGCGTGGGAGGTAGGCACTGTTACCGTCCTGGATGCCAAGTGAGGAAGCAGAGACATGGACAGCAAGCTGCCTTGGGGCCCACGGCTTGTGCTCCCCAGAGCCGGGGTCCGGTCCAAGCTGCCTTCGCCCCAGGCTAGTGTACCGTGCTGGAGTGAGTGCTGTGGGGATGGGGAGAAGTGTGTCATTTCAGAGGTGACTGGTGGGTGGACCCGACAGGCCTGGGTGTCGGGTCGAAGTCCCCGGAGACAAAGCCATGTCTGTTTCCTTACTCTACCCCTCATCCTGCTCACGAAGCTGGTGAGTGCGCCATGGGCATCTCTTGAATGGATAAGTGGCCAGCAACCGCTGAGTTTCCTGGTTGAACAACAACAGGGGTGATGGAGCCCTTCAGTGTGTGGGGGGTTGGGGAGTGGGAGTGCCTGGGGAACCGTGTCGTTGGTCCCCGTGGCGATGTCTGGGGGCACTGGGACTTATGGGCCTGGAGCTCAGTGTCAGGGCCACAGTGGAGAGGAGGGTCGGGACCCGCTGGGCACCTCGCTCGTGATGGAAACCACAGCTGTGACTGAGCTGTTGCCAGGGCGTTGGTGGAGCCCACAGGGGTTCTATGCAGGGGACGCCTGCACATTTGGGCACTGCAGTGTTTAGGAGGTAAGAAAAGCTGGTGGTGTGAAGCAGAACTCAGCTGGGAACACCGAGTGCTAGGGGAGGGGCAGAGGAGGAGGAGCCTGCAACAGGGAGGCTGGGGGCGGGGCTCAAGGACAACCAAGGGGAGCAGGCCAGAATCCAGAAGAGAAGGGGTTCCCTAGGGAGGGAGTGGGTGGTATGTCAGTGAGTGTGTACATGTGTGAGTGTGTACATGTGTGAGTGTGTACATGGGAGAGTGTGAGGGAGCTTTGAGTGTATGAAAGCGTATAGGTGTGAGTTTGTAGATATGTGTGAGTGAGAGGGTATGAAAGTGAGTGTGTGTGCAAGTGTGTGCATTCCTCTCTCTCTCCTCTCTTCCTTCCTGCAAGTGGTGTGGCAGGTGTGAGGGCGGAGCCTGCATTTAGGATGAGGCTGATAGGGCCTGGGGGTCTGTGACATCACAGCTAAGTGTCCTTTGGGGACTCTGCCTGTAACACAGAGCGGAGGCTTGGGCTGTCGGGGGAGAGGTGCTCTGTGTGGAAACAGAGGCTGGGGGTGGTGGGGTGGAGGCGGTTGCCATGGTGGCCCCGGAGCCGGGAGACCTGTCTTCTCTGCTCGCCTGCCCCGTCTCTCAGGCGGTCCTTGCTGGACCATTTTACTCTCCGTGACCTCGGTTTCATCACTGGTCATGCAGGGATGCTCACACATCTCCAAGGAGCTTTCCGGGCCTGGGGCTCTGTGTCTGCGGAAGCAGCTTTGCACTCTGCCTTCGCCCCCTGCGCCTCCATGAGAGACTGTGCCCCTGGAGACGGGGGTTCTTGGTACACGAGGAAGTGAGATGGCGTGGGCTTGAGGAGAGGAGCTGACTTCTTGCCATGGGCTTGCAGGCCTGGCTCACTGACCCACGGACGCTGGGGGGATCCATGGAGGAGACGGGGAGGGGGAGGGTGGCTGGAGAGGGAGGGGCCTCTGGAGAACAGGCTATTGCCTACTGAGCCCCTGGAAGAGGTGTGCTCCCTTCCCTTCCAGGGCTTCTGGACGCCCCCGCCCCTGCCCGTGGGCACCACGGGGCGGGGGGAACCTTTACTGTGGAGACAGGAGAGCCCAGTGCCACGGTGTTCGGAGCATGAACTGGGGACCCTTAAGCCTTCCTTTCCTTGGACGCTCGAAGGACAAAGCTGGCCTTGGGGTCTTGACCGGGGTTAAGGCGGGAGAGCCTGTCTGGGCTGACTCGTTGGAAGTGAGGTCCTCGGGCCTCTCCCAGACTGCACCCCACGCTCCAGCACTGCAGTGCCCACTCCTGTGTGGTCCCCCTACCTTCTGCACAGGACATTGGCCTCGCTGAGCCCAGGCTTCTGGGTTCTTGGAGACCAGCTAGGCCAGAGTCCACCTCAGTGGGCACTAGATGAAAGCGAGGCTGTGGACATACTGTTGGCACCCCCAGCGGGGGCCCTGGACCCCTCCCCCCCCGTGATATTTGGCAGACCCCCCTTGTGCTGTCTCATGAGATGTCATTGACGACAGAGTGTTGGTGTTTGAAGTCTTTGGTTACGCGAGGATGTCTCCTTGCTGGGGCCCCCCAGTTATTGCAAGCCCTTCCAAATCTCCCGCTTTGGACCAGCAACAGTCTGGGGCGAGAGTGGAAAGTCCTGCTCGAGCCGTGGTTCCTGCTGGTGGTGAAGGTGCCGGAGCCTGGGAGCCCGAGCTCTGCCTTTCACCGCGTCTGGTTCCCAGCCCACCGGCTGGCAGGGCTGTGGGTGTGAGACCGGGAGAGGGTTTTCCTTTAAAAAGTTATGATACGGAGTCGGGAAAGCCCGGAGGAGCTCTTGGAATGAATCCCTGGGATTTGGCTGGATTCTCTCGCCCCAGCCCTGCACTGGGCTAGGACCTGCTTCTATTTTTTCCTTGGTTTCTCCCGTCTCAGCTTACACTCATTGCAAGGATGAGTGTGGAGGTCCCAATCGTGTGTGTGTGTGTGTGTGTGTGTGTGTGTGTGTGTGTGGTGGGACTGTGGGAAAGAGAGTTCTGTTGTCCTGTAAACTCTGGCCCTTCCAGGCCTCCCGTGGAAGAGGCCCTCTGAAGTGCCCTGTTCCATTGTCTGCCGAGAGGATATAAATAACTCGGTGCTGGCCCCATGCCATGCCCTCGGCTGCGATGTAGCCTCTGGGTGCTGAGAATGTGTATTAATAGGTTCTAGCCTGGGGATCCCCTGGCTGCCTGGACCCCTTTGTGCAGTGGACACTGTCCTTGTCCCAAGGGATTGTGGAGCAGGCAGAAGGCTGGGGTCCCCGCCCCGTGGCTCTCTGCAGGGAACAGGAGTGAACTCCTGCACAAGCCCCCTCTAGCCAGCTGGGGCGTGTCTGGTGTCTGTCGGGTGTCTGGTGAGCGTGGGCAGATGGGTCTGGGAGGGATTCCTGGCTCCTTGGGCTGTCCCTCAGCTTCTTTTGGACTCGATGGACTCTGTTGGCTGATGTTCTCAGCAGGTTATCTCTGAACAGCAGCAAACAATGGTCTCCATAGTGGTAGGTGGGCTGCGGGGCTTCCGAGCCTTCACTCTGGGTAAAGAGGGTCTCGCCCTGCTGGCATCCAGCCAGTGGTTCCTGGGGCAGGCGGTTTCCTGCCCTGGAGGGGTGAGGGACTTGAGGCCCTTCCTTTACTCACTTATCGGCTGTTTGGACATCCACTCTGGGCCACGCCTTCTGTTGGAATTGGAGAGTTATGGGGTCGGTGGAGGTCCTGGCCACAGGGCACTCCCAGTCTCGCGACAGGACACTGTTCACTGCCTCTGCAGGGGGAGTGGAGCCACTCAGCACACGGGATGACAGGGTTTCTCCTCAGGGTTTCCTGAAATCCCAGTTCTGCTTTGCCACCCACCGTGTTCCCTGGGTCACTCTGGTGGCGCAGGGGAGCACCCCC